CGCTCAAGCTCATCGCGATCATTGGGAGGTTCTCGAGATCGTTGTGGCAACGTTGAAGCTCGGGGTCCATCCATGGCCCCTGAAGATCGGGATCCGTCGTCGGTCCCTGGCACGTCCGAAATGTGTGGTGGAGGATGGTCCGGAGGCCTCGGCATCAAAGATGGTCTCGATGGGGCCGATCTCGGGCTCCTTCCCCTTGTGGGGCTCCTGCCACGTCCAGCCATTCTCCAGGGAGGCATCTTGCGACTGTAGCTTGGGGATCTCCTGCGTCTTGGTGGTGATGGTGGTGTCGGCAAGCGTCGTCGACGTAGAGGGCTCCTTGACCTCCGACCTGTCTCAGCTGCCATCCTTTTGATCTCAACCTGTTCTGTTCGAAGATGTCCAACGTCGGTTGCAAGTCCTTGTACCAGTCGTCGAATCTCATCGAGTTGATCTGTTGTAGGATGACCTGCAGTGGGATGATCTGCTGTGGGATGAGATGAATGTTCACCTGAAGCATCATCGGCCGGAGCGTCACGCACGTCACGGCTTGAAGTCACACTGCCTCGTGATCGTGCCAACCTTGACATGTTCGGGATCAAATGTCGAATTTGTCCCAAGCTCGCAGCCATGTCTTGACAACCATGGCAAACACCACCACAACGCATCTCGCCCCACTTCCAGGATGATGCATGAATGAGAACAACGTCATAACCAAGGACTTTGAGACACCTAAAGGCAGCAAATCCTTGTCCCACTGACCTATGGCGGCCTGACTTGCACTCTAGGTCACCCAACACTTTGCTGCCAGCCTCCTGCTGAGTGACGAACTCCAGGATGTTGTTGAGATGTTGGATGAACCTGTCCACCTTGCTCAGCGTCTCAAGGATTCCATGATGCCAACCCACATGAGATCTAAGGTTTACGTCCTGATCAGGATCGTAAATGTCTTCACAGTTGATGGTCAGAGTGTTCCTGCTAGATCTGCATGCATGTTGTTGAAATCTACGTCCACGAGTCATGATGACCACCTTTCTGTCACTGCGCAGTTCTTCATTCAACTTCGTCTGCAAGATGTCATAGTCCCTCGAATGAAAGCCACACATATCATGATCAGCCATGGCAACGTCTGATGTGGATGTTGTGTATGCAATGTTGTACTTTCTGTGACACTTTGGGATTTGGGGAAGTTCATTCGGCGGTGTGTTGATGATGTTGGTCAACCCTTCAGTCAAGTTCATCACAAGTAAACCTGATTTTGAACACCTCTTGATATTCAATGGTTGATCTCGGATAGAAACCACTCCTTTTGCTAGGTCCTTCACTAGGCCTAATTTGGTTTGCGCATGCAATGAAAGAAGCAATGGACTGTTGCCTGTTGACAATTGATATGAATCCAACTCCCCATTCATGTTCCCGTCTGGAAGCAGCAGCGAAAAAGGAATAGATCTCACACCTTCGGTCTTGGTATTGCCACTTCCCAGACCAGCGAAACTCTTACAACTGTCATCCTTCAATGGCATGCTGTAACCCAAACGGGCCAGTCGTGCTTCTGCATCGACTGCCCAAGCCTTGCTATGACAAGTGCCGTTGCAACCTTCATCCAACACTGCAAAGACATGAGATGACCTGGCAATGTCAACAGTTTCATAGTTCATGTAAACCAAGTCTTGGGGGTATTGAATGTCACTTCCATGCAAACAAACGCCAACGTACCCAGCTAACTCCCTGCCCGAGGGGTCGCCGTGCCCATCTTCATTGACAAGAGAAAAACTGTCCTCTTCCTCTGTCACGTCATTGATGGCTTGATGGAGTAGTTCATGTAGACGTGCACGGGTCATGACCTCAGATTGACAGGTTTCGGTAACAAGAGTGGCAAACAGGGGCAACAACTCTTCCAACTGGACTGGATTCAATCCATCCGATTCTTCAACCAATGATTCAACAATGGGGACTGCTCGAACTGATGCTGTTTCAACCTTCTTGGCAATTGCAACACGCTCCTTTCGAATCTGCATAGGAGCTTCATCAATGAACGCGCAACACTTCTTGCAGAAAGTACGGTGTGTTGATTTGCTGGATCCCCGAAAATCTGTGTCGTCATGAGGGCAATTTTCAGGGGACATCAACGGTACCATGTCACGTCTTGTTGTTTCGGAATGACCGCACACAAGACAGGTCTTCCTGATGGTGTACCCCGTAGAACCTTGTTTTGTAAACTCACGACATTCCTGACACTTGTTCGGCAAAGGTGGATTTGGGGGTTTTCTCCTGCCAGTCTCCCGAGTCACCAACAAATCTCGGTGCTCGACATGCTCAACAGGGACTTCGCGCAAGTGAATCCCATCAGCACCAACCACAAAGTACTTGTCAACCCAATTCAACCATGTGGCATAGTATGGACTCTTGGGGGTATGTTTCTTGGCATGATGATAGTACCCTGTCTGTTCAAACAACACATTCCAAAAAGACAAACCCTTGAACTGTCCAACAGGAAAGATGCACCCATGGTCCTCGGGTCTCATTGTAACATCGAGATCCCGGGAAATCAAGCCAACGTTGCTGCTGGATGCTGCTGCACGTGAAGGTCTGCTGCTAGGCTTCGCTTGTCGAACTGCCATCATAGCAACTGCATCTCTGTCACGGTCAGGTGAAGCTGTCAAAGTCACACCATCATCATCTGAAGAATCACTCATATCGGCAAAGTGAGCTGCGGGCTTTGGAGCTGGCCTTCCAGGGGCTCCGGTTTTGGACCCCGGGAATTTACATTCCGGGTCACCGGCCCAGTGCCCTATGGTGCCGCATCTCAAACATTTGCTCTTCGACTTCAGCTCTGTGAGCTTCTGTCTCCTCTGATCGATCGTGAGGTTGGACTTCACGATCTTTCCTTTCCCCTTTCCTTTGGGCTTCCCGAAGGATTTTCCCTTGCCACCTGCTTTCCCCATTGCGGTGAAAGCAGCAAGTTGTAGCTGGATGGCGTCTCTTGCTTGTCGATCGTCTCCGGCACCTTCAAGTTCAAGCAAGCTGTTCAATGCAACTGCTTCGTACTCATCGACATCGTCAAAGTAATCAAATTCGTTGTCACCTTCTAGGTTTCCTGGCTCCTCTTCTGCAATGTCACCAAGCATGCCAACATATGAATCATCCTCCCAGGATTGATTCGCAGTTTCATCCCAAGATTCTGCATGATCCTCCCCATCATCGGGGTAGGCCGCATAAGCTGCTTGGGAATACGATCCCTTCGAAGAAGGTTTGCCTTTGCCATAACCCTTGCCTGTTGATTTGCCAAACTGTTGAGGATTGCCACGTCCTGTCCAGGATCGTGACCCTTCTCGCAAGTGAGTGCCACTGTAGTTCTCGATCAGCACCTTGCCAACACCTTCAAAATCCTTAGTGTCTGCACAGGCCTTCACAACGAGGATCTCTTGTCGATTGAGTCCACTCAACTCCAACATCAACTCTGTCCTCAAGCTGTCTGAAAACACCATTGTGTCATCCAACTCGCATAGCATGTGCCACCAATGTCGTCTCCTCTGAACATAGGAAAGCATGGGTTCGCCTGGTTGGCGAGACAAAGGTCCACCTTGCTTCTGTCCTGCACGAAAAAGTTCCTTTGCTTCCTCACGAGCTCTTGGAAACACATGGGATTTGATCTCACCCACAAGTTTCGCTAGCCCTCCAGGTTCAGACAACACTTCAAGTCCAAGATCCCTAGCTATTGAGAAAGCATCTCCTCTCAGTCCTTCAATCACCTTGTTGACCAATGGTCCGCGATCAACATCTGTCTTCTGCTTGCCGGACTTCGAGGATTTCCGGCTCGCTCCAGACTTCGGAGTCGAGACCGCTGATGTAGGCTGGGTTGCTTGAGTTGCACCCGAGAAATCTGGAAAAGTAGCATACTCATCTGCGTCTTCTGCGGCAGGCTCTGTTGCTGTGGTCCCAACGGGATCCGCAGACTTACTTGTCTCCTCCAGTTGTTGCTCATAAAGACGAATCCGAAGGAGTGTCCTGAACTGCCAATCATGAAAGTTCGCCGCATCACCTGCATAGATGTATGATCCACTCTTCGTCTCAAGTGGTGCCGATGAATGGCGCTCCTGGCTGAAACGAAGGCCATTGATCGACATGATGCTCGCTCCGTTCGGAGTCGAACAAGGAAAAACGTTAACAAGTGCCTGCCCTGGTCAGGGTCAGACAGATTCCCGAACCACGACACACTCGAAGTTCAGTTGATTCCCAAAGTTACCAGACTCAAATTCACAAAGGGGTCCCTGGGTCACTGACGTACCACCGGATGCGGGTCGTCACCCGCTCCGCTACCAATCTGAATTGGAAACGGGATCGTTAGTGCCCAACTTTTACCACGGCAGCGCGGTATGACTCAAGGGCCCTAAAGCCAAATGTCAACGGGGGCATGTGATCACTTGGCTATACAAAATATACATTAGACAGGTCAAACTCACACGTTTATGTATGTTAATCATTGTTAGTCAAACAGTTGGCCATCCCAAACGGAACAGGAAAGGATTGTGACTTCTAAAAGGCCTTTGTTCACACACTGATTTGCATAGCATCATAGCGTTTATCATTCAACCAAGTCAAAGCAGCAGTTTCAAGCGGGACATCATGGTCATTTATGTCTCACAAACTTCTCCCCGGGCCCTGTCTTTCTTCAAGACATCCCCGGAATAGTTGATGTTTGGGCAGTTTGAGCATAGGGAAGATGATGAATTTAAACCTCTTAAAGTGGAATTCCCAACGCTCCATCAAGGTCTTGCAAACATTTTGGAGAATCGTTTTGTCGGGTGTATTCCGAATACACATGCTATATTCAATCACAAGACGTGGTTCTTGAGTGTTCTTGAGGCGAAATTGCAATTGGCAAGCCACATGTGCCCGTGGAGTGTACAATGTTGACACCAACCTAGAAGCACATGTCTATGTGTTTTAATATGAAACAAAAATGTGAAATACGAATAATATGACTTCAAGAGTGCGGGTGTCAAAAAATGAACTTCAGCCTGCACTGGACCTCCACAGGTTCACACAGGTGATGTGCTCGGGGTTGCTCGTTCCATGGCACTGAAATCCCCAAGTTTCCGGCTCCATGGCCGCGCAACGTTGCTTGGACTGCACCTGAAGTCAGCGTTCTGCCATGAAGAACTTCCCTGTGAAAACGCATAGGAGAAATGTTGACAACAGGCCAGACAAGTGTGCAGGGAATTTTCCGTATCGAGACTGTGGGAACATCGTCCTAAGGTCGCTTGTTCTTTACAGAAACTCGGGGGCCATTTGGCATCAGAAGTCATGATCTTACCAAGATGACCAAGTGCCAACGGACATCCAATGCTGACTTTCATATATTATATCAATGTCACATCGTCTCAACTGAAAAAATCTGTGAGACTTTGCGTTCCACAAAGTTGCACCAAGTTGGGCACCGAAAACGTGTGTTGTTGTTTCTTGGGATTTAATATATTAGGGGAATTGGATGGATAAATCATGGATGATCTTGGATTATAATGGATCATATCCCCATATTATATGATTTATATGGGAATATATGGGATATAAATTATATATATATAATTACATGGAAAGGCTATGGGGAAACAAGCATAAATGTCGTCGTACGACCTCGTGGCAGACCAGATCTACCACACCCTCCGGTCCTCCATCCCCCGTCAATTTTCAGCACCAAGGAAGCAAGGTGGGGTCATCTACAATTCCAGCAGCCTTGTGGGTTAAGGAGCAACTGCAGCCCGCTTCTGTAGCTCAGCTGCTTCAGATTCCTTGCCCAGGTCCTGCAAGAGGTCTGCCAAACGCTCAATGGATCGAAGGGTGCTCGGATGCTGGGGTCCCAGAATCCTTTCCTTCGCATCCAGAGCCTGTCTTTGCAACTCCTCCGCTTCAGGAAGGTGTCCCATGTTGTGTAAGGCCAATGCCAGGTGACTGAGGGATTGCAAGGTCTCGGGGTGTTCCTTGCCCAGAGTCCTTTCCCTGGCATCCAAGGCCCTTCGGTGCAACTCCACACCTTCGCTGAAGTTTCCCATGTCCGTCAAGACAATCGCCACATTGGTCAGAGTGTGCAAAGTCTCTGGATGCAAAGGACCCAAATTCCTTTCTTTTATGCTGAGGATCTGGCGGTACGTGTCAACAGCTTCACTGTACCTGCCTGCGCCGTGCAGGAGAACTGCCAGATTGTTACTGGAGTCCAGAGTGAGACCGTCTTCAGGACCGAACACCCTTTCAGAGGCATCTTTGACTCGCCTGTACATCTCCTCGGCCTGAGACTCGTTGCCCGTGGCACGCAGGACGACGGCAAGTCTTAATAAGGAACTCAAAGTCTCTCTGGCTTCTGGACCCAACCATTTCTCCTTATACTCCAAGGTACGGTGCAGCAGCCGTTCAGCTTCGCGGTAATTGCACATTTCACTCAAGATCCCTGCCAAGAAATCGGTACAAGTGGCAGCCTGGTGACTCCTATGGCCATATGTTGACTCAAAAAATGCCAGCAACTTTTGCACCACGGGCAACGCCTCCTGATGCAAACCCCGACAATTGAGCACGGCGCCTAGGCGCCACTGGGCAAGCCAGTCTGTCGTCACACTGGCGCGGGTACGCAAGGCGTCCAGTAATCGTGCACGTGCATGGTGGACCTAGGCTTGCCGGGAATGAAACCGTATGCAAGAACTGGAAATGAATGGACATCCTACAGTGACACGGATCTCCTATCTTGCACATGAATTTATTGACCAGTTGTTTTCCGGACAGGATAATGATGTGATGGCGTATGTGTTCCTTTTGTTTTCGCTACAGTAATGTATTCATTACGTATTCACGTCGTATTCATGATAATTTCATGATGTAGTCATGGTGTATTTGTTGTGTGTTCGTGGTGTATTTGTCATCAAAGGCAGTTGGGAAGCAATACTTCCGTGTTATGGACAAATAGAACTCGGAGACTTGAAATGATGAAGGGTGGTGCGCGACTGAGACTTGACCTTGATGAAGGGTGGTGTGAGACTTTACATTACATAACAATACATCAGAAAAGAATTGACCTTGATGAAGGGTGGTGTGAGACTTTACATTATATAACAATACATCAGAAAAGAATTGACCTTGATGAAGGGTGGTGTGAGACCTTACATTACATAACAATACATCAGAAAAGAATTCACCTTGATGAAGGGTGGTGTGAGACATGACATTACATAACAATACATCACAAAAGGATTGACCTTGATGAAGGGTGGTGTGAGACCTTACATTACATAACAATACGTCAGAAAAGAATTGACCTTGATGAAGGGTGGTGTGAGACCTTACATTACATAACAATACATCACAAAAGGATTGACCTTGATGCAGGGTGGTGTGAGACCTTACACTACATAAGAATACATCAGAAAAGAATTGACCTTGATGAAGGGTGGTGTGAGACATTACATTACATAACAATACATCACAAAAGGATTGACCTTGATGAAGGGTGGTGTGAGACTCTACATTATATAACAATACATCACAAAAGGATTGACCTTGATGAAGGGTGGCGTGAGACTTTACATTACATAACAATACATCACAAAAGGATTGACATTGATGAAGGGTGATACATCACATACAATAAGAAGGTATGACACAGGGTGGTGACGAAGGGAGGTGGTGACGATGGGAGGTGGTGACGATGGGAAGTGGCGAGGAAGGGAAGTGCGCGAATTGTTCCTCCTATGTGTTTTGCAACGAGTGGTTGTTGCTGCGTGCGTAGTTGTATGCGTTTCTTGAAGCTGTGGTGGCAGATCGCATTGGAATGGCTGCATGATGTTGCATCGGCTTTGTGTTGGGGAGGAAGCTGGAGCACGAAACCTTGTGTTTTTCCGTGTAAAGTGGCTGCAGCCGGCGATGAAAGGTACCTCGTGTGTGCGACGGGTGCGGCTGGGGTCGGTTTGTCGTTTTTTTTGCCGCATTGTAACGGTGGCTTGAAGCTGCTTTGGGTGTGCTTGTGTGTGCGTAGTTATAGGGTGTTTTGGAATCTCTGGTTGCAGATCGCATTGGAATGGCTGCATGACTGTTGTCATCTTGTGTTCTGGTGTTGTTCTGTGCGTAGATAGGTGCGGGTTTGCAAGTTGATGCTGCGAACCGCACGGTAATGGCTGCATGATGTTGCATGGGCTATGTTTTGGGGAGGAAGCCGGAGCACGAAACCGTGCGTTTTTCCGTGTAAAGTGGCTGCAGGCGACGATGAAAGGTACCTCGTCTGTGCGGCGGTTGCGGCTGGGGTCAGTTTGCCTTTTTTTTTGCCGCATTGTAACCGTGGCTTGAAGCTGCTTTGGGTGTGCTTGTGTGTGCGTAGTTATAGGGTGTTTTGGAATCTGTGCTTGCAGATCGCATTGGAATGGCTGCATGACTCTTGTCATCTGGTGTTCTGGTGTTCTGGTGTTGTTCTGTGCGTAGATAGGTGCAGGTTTGCGAGATGATGCTGCGAACCGCATTGTAATGGCTGCATGATGTTGCTTGGGCTTTGTTTTGGGGAGGAAGCCGGAGCACGAAACCTTGCGTTTTTCCGTGTAAAGTGGCTGCAGGCGGAAAGGTACCTCGTCTGTGCGGCGGTTGCGGCTGGGGTCGGTTTGCCTTTTTTTTTTGCCGCATTGTAACGGTGGCTTCAAGCTGCTTTGTGTGTGCTTGTCTGTGCGTAGTTATAGGGTGTTTTGGAATCTGTGCTTGCAGATCGCATTGGAATGGCTGCATGACTCTTGTCATCTGGTGTTGTTATGTGTGTAGATACGTGCAGGTTTGCGACGTGATGCTGCGAAACGCATGGTACTGGCTGCGTCAAGGTTGCTTGGTGCCGCGGCTGCATGCGTAATACTATTGTCTTCTGCAGCTGAAGATTGTAAATCGTATTGGAGTGGCTGCATCCAGGCTGCGACAGTGGTTTGTCAGACGATTGTCGCAATTTTGGCGCTAGTAATTTTCCTTTTAAAACTCTTTTTAAAAAGTGCTTCAAAATCGTCTTTTTTTCGCTTTGGCGTCGAGATCCGGTTTTGGAGCTGCAGTTTCCGACGTCGTTGCGCATAGTTCTATTGTGCTTTGCAACTCATTCTCCGCAGATCGCATTGTAATGGCTGCGTCAAGGTTGCTTGGTGCCGCGGCTGCATGCATAATACTATTGTCTTTTGCAGCTGAAGATCGTAAATCGTATTGTAGTGGCTGCATCCAGGTTGCGACAGTGATTTGTCAGCAGATTTTCGCAATCTTGGCGCTAGTAATTTTCCTTTTAAAACTCTTTTTAAAAAGTGCTTCAAAATCGTCTTTTTGTCGCTTTGGCGTCGAGATCCGGTTTTGGAGCTGCAATTTCCGACGCCGTTGCACGTAGTTCTATTGTGTTTTGCAACTCAGTCTCTGCAGATCGCATTGTAGTGGCTGCGTCAAGGTTGCTTGGTGCAGCGGCTGCATGCGTAATACTATTGTCTTTTGCAGCTGAAAATTGTAAATCGTATTGTAGTGGCTGCATCCAGGCTGCGATAGTGATTTGTCAGCAGATTTTCGCAATTTTGGCGCTAGCAATCTTCCTTTTAAAATTCCTTTTAAAAAGTGCTTCAAAATCGTCTTTTTGTCGCTTTGGCGTCGAGATCCGGTTTTGGAGCTGCAATTCCTGTTGTGATTATGTACAAGAAAGCTTCTCTGTGCTAAAACTTTTTCTGTAAAAGCTTGCTGTGTGTAAAAGCTTCTCTGTGTGTAAAAGCTTCTCTGTGCAAAAGTTTCTGTGCCTGTAAACGCTTGCCATGTGTAAAAGCACTGTGCGTAAGTGTTCTGTGTGTAAACGCTTGCTGTGTGTGAAAGCTTGCTGTGTGTAAAAGCTTCTCTGTGTAAAAGCTTGTTGTGTGTAAAAGCTTCTCTGTTTAAAAAGCTTGCTGTGTGTGTAAACGCTTGCCATGTGTAAAAGCACTGTGTGTAAGTGTTCTGTGTGTAAACGCTTGCTGTGTGTGAAAGCTTGCTGTGTGAAAAAGATTTTGTGTGTAAAAGCTTGCTGTGTGTAAAAGCTTCTCTGTGCGTAAAAGCGTCTCTGTGCAAAAGTTTCTGTGTGTAAACGCTTGCTATGTGTAAAAGCACTGTGTGTAAGTGCTCTGTGTGTAAACGCTTGCTGTGTGTGAAAGCTTGCTGCGTGTAAAAGCTTCTCTGTGAAGAAGCTTGCTGTGTGTGAAAGCTTGCTGTGTAAAGCTGCTCTGTGTAAAAGCTTGTTGTGTGTAAAAGCTTATCTGTTTAAAAAGCTTGCTGTGTGTGTAAACGCTTGCCATGTGTAAAAGCACTGTGTGTAAGTGTTCTGTGTGTAAACGCTTGCTGTGTGAAAAAGATTTTGTGTGTAAAAGCTTGCTGTGTGTAAAAGCTTCTCTGTGTGTAAAAGCGTCTCTGTGCAAAAGTTTCTGTGTGTAAACGCTTGCCATGTATAAAAGCACTGTGTGTAAGTGTTCTGTGTGTAAACGCTTGCTGTGTGTGAAAGCTTCTCTGTGAAGAAGCTTGTTGTGTGTAAAAGCTTCTGTGTGTAAAAGCTTCTCTGCTTGAAAAGCTTGCTGTGTGTAAAAGCTTCTCTGCGAAAGACCTTGATGTGTGTAGAAGCTTTGTAGTACAAAGTAGTACTGGAACGTGTTTTGTGCAAGCTTTGTAGTACAAAGTAGTACTGGATAGTGTTTTGTGCAAGCTTTGTAGTACACAGTAGTACTGGGAAGTGCTTTGTGCAAGCTTTGCAGTACAAAGTAGTACTGGAACGTGTTTTGTGCAAGCTTTGTGATACAAAGTAGTACCGCGAAGTAGTTTCTGCAAGCTTTGTAGTACACAGTAGTACTGGGAAGTGCTTTGTGCAAGCTTTGTAGTACAAAGTACTACTGGGAAGTGCTTTGTGCAAGCTTTGCAGTACACAGTAGTACTGGGAAGTGCTTTGTGCAAGCTTTGTAGTACAAAGTAGTACTGGGAAGTAGTTTGTGCAAGCTTTGTAGTACAAAGTAGTACTGGGAAGTGCTTTGTGCAAGCTTTGTAGAACAAAGTAGTACTGGAACGCGTTTTGTGCAAGCTTTGTAGTACAAAGTAATACTGGGAAGTGCTTTGTGCAAGCTTTGTAGTACAAAGTAGTACTGGGAAGTGTTTTGTGCAAGCTTTGCAGTACAAAGTAGTGCTGGGCAGTGTTTTGTGCAAGCTTTGTATTACAAAGTAGTACTGGGAAGTGTTTTGTGCAAGCTTTGCAGTACAAAGTAGTACTGGGCAGTGTTTTGTGCAAGCTTTGTATTACAAAGTAGTACTGGAACGTGTTTTGTGCAAGCTTTGTAGTACAAAGTAGTACTGGGAAGTGCTTTGTGCAAGCTTTGTAGTACAAACTAGTACTGGGAAGTGCTTTGTGCAAGCTTTGCAGTACAAAGTAGTACTGGGAAGTAGTTTGTGCAAGCTTTGTAGTACAAAGTAGTACTGGGAAGTGCTTTGTGCAAGCTTTGTAGAACAAAGTAGTACTGGAACGCGTTTTGTGCAAGCTTTGTAGTACAAAGTAGTACTGGGAAGTAGTTTGTGCCAGCTTTGTAGTACAAAGTAGTACTGGGAAGTAGTTTGTGCAAGCTTTGTAGTACAAAGAAGTACAGGGAAGTGCTTTGTGCAAGCTTTGTAGTACAAAGTAGTACTGGGAAGTGTTTTGTGCAAGCTTTGTAGTACAAAGTAGTACTGGGAAGTGGTTTTTGCAAGCTTTTGTAGTAGACATCAGTACTGGGAAGTACTTGACATAAAAATAGCCAAGAAGAACTTAGCTGACACATGGGAAGACATGGAATGAGATGAGAAGAGCTCAGATGAGATGAGTTGAGATGAAGTGCAAGTGTGGAGTGTGGGGTGTGAAGGGTGCAATGTGAAGTGTGAGGAAAGTGTTTGCATTGTACCGGGGTCGCGCGCAGGTCATGTTCTTGGACAGCAACACTGCAACAGCTTCGCACACAGCACGCACGCACGGGCCTGGCTGGCGCACGGCGCATGCAAGTTCCTTAGTAGTAGTACTGTGAAGTGATTCATGAAAGCTTAGATGACATATGAGAAGAGATGAGATGAGAAGAGATGAGCTGGGATAAGGTGAGAAGAGCTCAGATGAGATGAAGTGTGGAGTGTGCAGAGTGCAGTGTGAAGTGTGGGGCGTGAAGAGTGCAGTGTGAAGTGTGGAGTGTGAAGAAAGCAATGAGAAGTGAGAAGTGTGAAGTGTGGACTGTGAAGAGTGAAGTGTGAAGTGTGGAGTGTGAAGTGTGCAGTGTGGAGTGTGAAGAGTGCAGTGAGAAGTGTGAAGGGCGAAGTGGAGCTTCAAATGTGACATGTGAAACAGGACGCCACTTTCGCAGAGTGCACGCACGCACGGGCTTGGCTGGCGCACGGCGCATGCAAGTTCTATAGATGAGAAAGGTCTTATATATATCTTTAAGGCAACTTCCGCCCCGCCTCGTGCGGGTACTACTGGTATATTCCTGCATGCCTGTGCTGCATATGGAAAGATTCAAGGCAATGCATTGGGGAAACTGTCTTATCTTTGCCGGAGAGTGCATACAAAATGGACATGTAAACTGGGCAGCCGATCACATTGCCACATGTTCGCACAGTAAACTGATCCTTTTGTTCTTGTTTCACCACCTCTACATCTTGCCCGTTGTGGGATATCATGGAATCACTTTAACAAAGGATCTCTGCCTCACTTTATGGTATTCTTTTCCATTTCATCCTCTTCTGGGCAGGCAGCAAGATCGTAGAGCGAAGGGACTGGCTCCTACTAAAAGTAAACTTGTGGGGTTATTGCACTGTCCAGTCTGCAGTTGTGGTACATGCAACAACTTAGACAGCATGTCTTTCTGTCTCAAAAGACATAACTTGCCTGCGAAAGAGCGTGTGCCCCACCAGACCTTGTCTCTATACCGATGCCAGACAACATGTCACAAGACATATCAGATATATCAGATGAACGTGTCAGAATGAAGACAAGAAGTCAAATGTCAAAATATGGCCAGGAGACATGTTAGCTGACATGTCAGAAGAAAATGTCAAACACACGTGACAAAATAATATGTCTAGAGTCTAAACTCCAAACATATTGTCACACCAAATGATGTGTCAAATAAGCTGATCCAGCTCACATTTCAGATATCCATATCTACTGACTGTGAGGATCACACAAGGCAAGGAACTCGAACATCTATAATAAGATTATATATAAATGATACAGCAGAATGTCCGACCTGCTTGACATCCAAGCTGCGCCATCTTCACCAGAGACTCGGAGCACAACGCACCAGCGTAGCGGCATGCCAGGCTCATTCAGAAGTTTGTCCGCAAGGTTCCTGCCCGGTTCCTTCCCCGCAGCCTCCATTTCTGGTGTCGCTTTCTTGGAGACATCGAAGGCATTGCATGCATCGATCAGAATTGGGACGCAGAATGCGGCCCTCTTGGGGTACTCGCGATCTACGTACTCAGAACCCCTCTCTGGATCCTCGCGGTCCCGCCGCATCATGTTGCGGAAATTGTTGTCCAGCAACTGCTCCCGGTTTTGCCACTGGTCAGGAGGCGATGGCACAGTGTAGATCCCTTTGCCCCACCAAGCATTAGCATTGGGCCCATCTGTCTTCAATGATGCCCAAACCTCTGCTGCTTCTTTGGCCGGGTGAGTGATGTTTCGGAAGGCAATTTCACTGGTATAATGAAAGTAGACCTCCCCACCATGACCCGAGGTGAGGTCAATGGCGTCTTGCCAAACTTGGATCCCTGTGGGTCTATGGAACCAGGTCCACATATGAACATCCCTACGCAGCTCGTAGTCAACATGCCAGAATTCTCCTCCCTCGCGGTAGTGATTCTCAAAGTAGTCCCGCAAATTGCTTGTCCTGAGATGAACTCAAGCGTGCCGTATGCAAATGGAAATTTGTTTTCGTTACAGCACTTCAATCTATTTGAAATGTCATTCGTGGATTTTTGGGTCCTTGGGTTGGAAACCAATGTTACAAAATGTGTCCGGGTCTTGGTGTTTCCTGTATACTCCTAACCCTTTGGACTGTGTCGGTCAGAACACACCTTGGTGTTGGTTCGGGGAGCTGGCGGGTCTTGACCCCACCTTTGTCCCCAACTGCCTTTCCAAGATTTTTCGATATCTCGCTACAACAAGGGCGATCATCACTGAAACAATTCCATGATTCAATGATAGGGTTGTGGGTCAGAATTTGCATGTTCCATGTTTTTGCATCATAAATCATTTATCACAATACCAGATAGTGGCCGGCACGCGCCAGGCGGAAGTTTCGAAAAAGTGGAACAACTATAGGAAGGAGATGGTTTGTAGGAAAGGTATTGTGATGCAGAAGCAATGAAGTGTTGAAGTTGTGAGATGCATCAACGAATGGGCAAATGGCCGTTCAGGTGCCACTGAAATTAAATGAAAACACCCATGCACAGCTGACTGAATGAAACAATGAACTGATGAATCAATCATTCAGTGATTCAATGAATCCAGCTGTGAATCATTGAATCAATGAAGCAGGGAACCACTGAGTCGATGAATCAACGAATCGATGTTTCAGTGAATCAATGAGTCACTGAATTGATGATTCGGTGAAATACTGACTCAATGAACCCATGCATGCACGATTTAGTGAGTCGAGGAATTAGTGAATCAATGAGTCACTGATTCAGTGCTTCAATGAACCAATGAATCAACCAGCCAGTGAACCAAAGGATCAGTGAATCCATGAATCAATGAACCAATGAATGATGGCAGAATGAGGGGATGGATGGGTGAATGAATGGATGGATGGATGGGCGAACTACTTTTCTTCGTTGAGCTGCTTCTTCACTGAGCGGCCTCTTCGCTGAGGCACCTCTTCTCTTAGCTACTCCTTCTCTGAGCAGCCACTTATCAGGGCTACTTCTGCCTCCCAGCTAGCTCTTTTGCAGCTTCTGCAACCCAATTCTTCTCTTCGCGCGGCTGTTTGAATTCACGCGTTACCGAACTGTTACTCTCCTCTACTGCTCCCAGACACGAACTGCTCTTGCTTATTGTTGACACAATGACAAGACTGCCCCTGGGCATTCATCCGGAACTCGGAAGTTTTCGAACTAATTAAACTTCCTTGGGTCAAAAGCCACTAGTCCATCTGTGGTTCCCATGGGTCTAAACTTGCGACCAACACCCCCACGCTGCAGCTGAGTTGCTTTGTATTACCATTTCGCTTTGACAGTACCTGTCAGTGTACCCTACAAAGAGTCCGTAGCTGTATTTCATGGTATCCGGGTAGTTTCAGATTCGTCCACCACAAAAAATGCCAAGTTCTTTTAAATTTACATTGCAGCCCTTGATGCTGACCTATCCTTTGGCTTGTGGCTAATAAATAGGCTGCCCTGGACATCAGAAAATGATAGACAACTTGTGATTTTGAGTCAGTACCCATGTGGCGTGCAGCTGCATAGCCCAAGGGCTCAAATGGGGAACCATCTTCCAACCCATGGCGGCTATGATGGGTGCGCCCGCCAAAGGGACCCAGTGGCAGTCCACGTTTCTTTTGTCAAGTAATTATCACCAATTTAATGGCTACCCCCCACAGTAACGATGTACTGGACAATATACATTATGTGAAATAGTATTACATACAAGTATTACATACAGTATATACATATTGTAGCTGCACCTACTTGATCTAACAGAAGAAAGCACAGGGCACGACATGTCACATTGATCGTTTCTGACACCTAGTGCATCATGTTGGGGATGCCGCCATCTAGAATGGCCAGTTACAATACTACGGTTTGCTTTAGCTACAACTGGCTTCAAGCCCCGCTCACCTGATAAACAACCCCGGTGAAAGGCACTGTAGCTGGAACCCAGTAGATATATCATATCATGTCATATTTGGTAGGTCCCTATCATGGCTTATCACTTTACCAAGAAGCGCCATCCGTGGCCCTCATCCAGACCGGCACGTCCCCTCCCAGAGGCAAGGCCTGTGAGGAAGTGGTTTCCCGAAAAATGAGGTCCAAGAAGTTTTCGACACCTGGGGCACTAGGGATGGACAGCGCGGCTCTTCATGCAGCACCGGTGTAACCACGACACGAGATATTGGAGTATACGACTTGGGAATTGGCATTTTTCGTCAGTGAAACCTTATTAAGACATACTTGGGAACCAACATGTGACACTACATTGAACTGCTTCATGATATACTTCCAGCTGGCTGAAATCCTCAGTCTCCATCGGTCCATGGTTACTCCGACACATTTCGAATCTCCGGGGCTCAGCCAAAGCCGAACCCAGCCCAATGACCCAACCGTCCTTCATTATATGAGTTGCCGTCAAAATCAATTGTTTACGCCCGATGCCTGGTACAAAAATATAAGTGATCGGTTTTGGAGGGGGCCATATCGCTCTACAGTGTTTTGTTCAAATCAACACTAAATAATGCACAAAAATACAGCGGAATTGGCTTCGCGGATTCAGATCTCTAAACGCCGGGGATGGATTTAGGGGGCGCTCGCTGTCTTTGCGCTTGCAACCATGTTGGGGAGCTATCAAAGCACATTACTAGACTCTTTCCTAAGCAAGGAAATTTGTTACAATCTCAACTCCGAACTAGAAAGACCGTAATTAATTAAGATCAATGGTTCCCAACGGTTATAAGATCACTAATTCTATGAAAACCAAAAATGGTCACCTCGGCCTTGTCCCTGTTTGAGTAAGCCATGGCATCAGAAAACGCCACACTTCCCTGCTCAAAAGCTTCAGAAATTGAAGCTGGGACCTCATCGGTCCAATAAAGAAGCGTTCGTAGCTATGAAGAAGTGCATTAGGCTTCCCAAGTCTCAATACAACCTGATGGCCTCGTGTTGAACCTGTTCACTTTTTTGTTGAGCCCTTCTTCTTGTTGGGATCAAATGAGTCTATCCCTCGTCTGGGGTCCCTTTTTCAACAAAAGGTTATCGCTAGGTTTTCGCGAAGGTTGTCGCTAAATTAGAACACTTTGATGATCAAGAAAGGAAAGGAAAGAGGAACATAGAACAAAAAGGACAATTGAAAAAACAAAAGGAAAAAGGAAGGAAGGAACAAGAAAAGGAAACTAAGGAAGAAGAAAGGACAAATCAAACCACAAGGAAATAAAATGAAATAAATGGAATTCAGAATTGGATTCAAAACCAAATTTGGTTTAGTTCAGAATTCAATTGATTTCAATTGCATTTAGCTTTTAAAGGAAAATAAAGGAAAAAGGAAGGAAAGAAAAAGAAAAGAAAACAAAGGAAGGCGCAGTTCGAATTAAAGTCTGATTTACTTTGATTCAGAATTTGGTTGCGCTCAATTTAGTTTAATTCTACTGCTTTGGGACCGGGGAAGAAAAAAACAAACTGCCTGCAGAAAGCGACGGTTCAATCACCTTGGAACTGCAAGAAACGTGGGCACTGCAGGTTGAATGTTCTTCATCAATTTTGCCCATTGCATGAAGGCACACAGCTATATTAGCTAGCTTGGTTTACACCAAGTATGGTTAAAGGTTATCGGTTTTGGGGGGGGCCTATCGCTTTACATGGTTTGGTGCACTTTCCCAACACGACATTTTGACCGTATCTCATATACTTTAAAGGGGTTCCCCAGGAGAAAAATGCATTTGTTTAATCGTTTAATCATTTTGTGATGATGTTTCACTTCTTCTTGAGGATTTGTAATATTTGCACTATATTTACCAAACCCAGTGAGTGACACTCGCACACCAACTCATGATACCAAAATTGGTTATCAAAGGAAAATAAATCTAGACGAAACCATCATTTGATGCTACATTGGATGCTAAAAACATCTAAAAACCATGGCTTTACTGCTTCATGCAAATTTTCCTTCAAACCAAACCAATCCTCTCTATGCCACCAAGGTTCTGAGATGTGACTCTTTGTCCTACCGCTCGACGGCCAAGGGGTGGGGTGGGAAACGTGGGGGGTTCCACACCTCTGTGAGTTTCCGCATGAAGGCTATGAAGGTTTTCCCTCAAAATCATCCAAATTATGGGAAATTCTGGGTGGAAAGCTTGAAATGGGAAACCTCCAGCTACTCTGGGACGTGAAAGTCAGTGCATATGTTGGCACAAGATCTGTTGTGCTGCACAAAATCATTGAAATACCCAGTGCCACATATTCTCTTTCACCGAGCATGCCACTAAGTTTGGATGTCACAAGTATCAAACCAAGTAATAAACAAACTTGTTTATTACAACCAGTGTACCCCTGCGTTGTGTGCCCTGCAATGGACAAACAAACCATAAGAAGGTTAATGACTACAAATGGAAGGTTCATGTTGGTGAAATTGTGCGTGCCTATGCGTTTTGTGGTCTTACAATAAGCAATGATCCAATGGAACAATGATGTCATATATATCTTCTATACACACTTCCCCACGGCACACCGACCTGAGACAACTTCAGGGGAGACGAGACAAGAAACGACATGAACCCAGTACATCATCACCGCCTGCCTAACTGTCCAAGGACAACAGGACACCATTCAGTGATGTACAAATTCCATTATTTCAAAGCTAAACTCCCAAAACACAAGGGAATAGCTACAACCATCTGCATGGTATCCGATAGACCATCAATTGGAGAAAACACAAGCATGCTAAACACCAACTGGACGCAACATAGCACCGACTTCCAGAAATTTCTCCCCCACCTAGGACGCACATTTCATTGAAACGCTTTGACTTCCACAACTTAGAGTATCCTAGCGTTTGACCTTCACCAGAGATGGTATAACCCCTATGAATGGTGATTGCTAGATGACTTCTGATGGCTTGAATCCCTAGAAGCAGTTTTCGCGAATTCCCTTGCGGCTCAAGTCCTTCAGCAGGGCACGCGCTTGCTTCTCTGTGCCACCGATGATCTGTAGAAATCTGATCCAGCCTACAGCAGAGCTATGAATGGCAGAAACATCTCCACATGTCCAATTCTAGCCACGCAGGGGCCAAGGAACAGCATAGATCTTGTGGTGAATCACTTATGACTTATCTTGTGACTTATACTTATATTATATTTTTTTCCACGTTGCCCACAGCTGCTGCACCTCATAGGTGTCTTACATTCGGCCAAAAATGGCGCAGCATAGAGATATACTTATGTATCATGCATGGGGTGGAATACATCGAATGTCATTTGGACCACCGCAATGGACGTTTTAAACACTAAGCCCGCTGTTGGGCTTGATGGCTCGACCCCTCAATCCCACGGTGAATCATCATTTTTCCATATTTTTCCCATTCAATGGCCATTAACTTGCGGGGAAACCCCACTTTCAAACCTCATTTGAAACACGATGATCAACCATGAAATTTGGGAGGTCCCCTCTTTTCAGACGAAGTTCCGGATATCACCAAAATCATCCCCGAAAGCTGGGACCAGACCGGTTAGGTCTGGTGGAACCCCGTTGGAATCGGCGAGTTCTGTTGTTGAAGATTGAACAGATTGAACAGATTGAACATGGACATGGTTGAAATCACCACCCGGACTCAAATATCGCCAGACGCTGCCGAAACAGCCCACCTTCCTTGGGCAGAACACCTTTGCGTTCAGCCAGGGTCGACCGCAAGATGTTCTCCACCGCGCAGCGGGAGTCCTGAGACCGGCCCGGAGAATTCGAATCTGGTTCCAAGTTGTTTCCAACGGGTTTTAGATGGTTTAGGATGGGTTAGGAAAGGGCTCAAGCCGCTTCATTTCTGAGAAGTTCAAAGTCAACTGCAGCATGAAATTTATCCTTTGAAATTGTGTTCCAGGTTTGAGCCATTGGCCCGAATAGTGACAGTCAATCTCCCAAACCAATAAATTCCACGGCAAACCTGCCGGAACCTGTTGGAACCCATTGGAACATCGCACAGCCTTGCACGTGGCTTCTTTCCGAGCGGCCATGCTTAGCAGGGGACGGCTGCAGGTCGGAACCTCACTGAAGCGCCAGCAATCTGATTTCACTGGATCAAATTTGACATGGTCCTGATTCAATGGACATGCTGCCGCACTCCACTTCGCACACTTCACCAAGGATGAACTGGGGTTGTCTCAAGAATTTTGTGAGATATTCTGCCCCATTAATTATCATCCTGCATCATCATTTAATGAAAATCATATCATGTCCCCAGTAAAAAAATGCGAATAAGATGGTGCAAATGCCCTATTTCTGGATCAACCCATCTTTCGGTGGACTGGGCACGGCGCACCTCCTGTTGACATTCTCGCTGGACCATGCATTCCCATGGCCGCGCAGAAAAGGATGTGACGAGTATCAAACTTCTGTGTATGGTTTATTGGGTGAATATGTCTATATATATATACTACCAATGAAATCCAATGAATATAGAATCAGATTCTCTCTTATTGTACTATACAGAACATGTTTAGCTATCCCAGACAGAAGAAAAAAGATCAGAAAGGGATTGCGACTTCTAAAAGGCCTTTGCTCATGAAGGACGATGTGCTTAATAACGTTATGTACAGAATTTATAAAAATATTTATCATTCACCGAAGTCAAAGCAACCTTGCAGCGCTTGCAGCCTGTTCGAGGCCGTCATGAAGGCACTGGAGCATGTATTTCAAGCCGAACATAAATGTATGGTAAAGTACCTGGTAAAGCGTTTATCTCTCAGAAACTTATCATTTTGAGACTCTGTTTTTTTCAATATCCCCGAAGTATCCCCAAATATCCACAAATAGTTTATGGTGGCGGTTTCTGGCATTCGACTTACATGAGAAAACGCTGACCGGAATTCAGTTTCCCCGGACCCTTTTTTTGAACCTTGGAAGATGAACCGAACCGAACCTAACAAAGCCTCTGAATCCATTGAATCCCCAACGGGCCACAACGCTCCGTCAAGGTCTTGCAAACATTGATAAGTTAGAAATGTTGGAATCATTTGGTCAGGTGATGTCAGGTGATGTCAGTTGTGTGTTCCTCATGCCATATTCAAACACAAGACAAGTGGTGTCTTGAGGCAAAATTGCGCTTGGCAATTTAAATATGTACCGGTGGCAGCAGTGTGACAAAAAGTGCAGGCGAAACAAAAAAATCAGGCTGCTCTGGACATCACTGGGCCCATGGCTTTTCAAACAAAGGTCATGTGCAAAGCTGTACTCGTCCGAGTCTCTCGCAACGCCCAAGGTCGCCTGGTTGAGTGCACTTTCAGTGCTTTGCTGGAACGGGCATGAAGAATTGTAGAAATGCGCAGGATTCTGCAACAAATATTGATGAAGGGAATGGGAATGTTCCATGTCAAGCGATAGCGGAGATGTTCCATGGGAACCTCGTTCAACGTCGAAGCATGGTGGGAACCGTTGTTGCCAAAGACCTCGACGTCGTGACCTTGGACATAGGACATCCAAGGACTCTAAATAGGTGCCCACGAATAACTCCGTAAGCTGAACAGCCCAGTTTTGAGGTTACAACAGGCGCAGCATGCAGCATGCTCCATCCACTGCAGGAATTGAAACTCACAGCACTATGTACAAGTCATGAACATGAAGGAGCCGAAAAAAACGACACAGGGCAAGGTGCCAACAGCTAAACCTTGGCTGTTGATTAGGGAAGAAGTTCTATCCGCTTCCACAGTTCGGCTGCTTCAGATTCGTTGCCCATGTCCTTTAAGAGGCGCACTAAACGCTCAATGGATCGGAGGGTGCTCGGATGCTGGGGTCCCAGGATCCTTTCCTTCGCGCACAGAGCCCGTCTCTGCAACTCCTCCGCTTCGGAAAGATTTCCCATGGCATGCAACGCCAATGCCAGTTGACTCATGGATTGCAAGGTCTCAGGATTTTCGAGGCCCAGAGTCCTTTCCCGGGCATCCAAGGCCCTTCGGTGCAACTCCACTCCCTCCCTGTGGTTGCCCATATCTGTCAAGGTAATTGCCAAGTTGGTAAGACTGTGCAGAGTCACCGGATGCAAAGGACCAAATGTCCTTTCTTTTATGTCCCAGACCTTGCGATACAACTCAGCAGCTTCATGGTAATCGCCCGCGTTGTGCAGGGCAATGGCCAAATCGTTGATGCAATCCAAAGTTTGAGGATGTTCCGGACCCAAGATTTTTTCGCAGGTGACTTTCGCAGTCCTCCTCAGGTCCGCCGATTCCCGGTAGTGGCCCATGGCTTTTAGGACAGTGGCCAGACCGGACATGGCAGTCAAGGTCTCTGGGTGCTCAGAACCAATTTGTCTTATCTGCTCATCCAAAACACGGCGGTACAAGACCACAGCTTCACTGTAGTTGCACATTTCTGTCAGGAGATATGCTAACTGGTAGCTGTATTTCAAGGCTTGTTGGTTAAGCCCCCATCTGCACCCCTCCAAGGCGGGTCGAAGCAATTTCTCAGCTTCGCTGTAATTGCCCCTAGCTTGCAGGAGGAGGGCCAGAAGGCCGGCACATGCCGACGTCTCCTCATGTGCCGGGCCATATATTGACTCACAAGATGCCAGCAATTTTCGCACCAAGGGCAACGCCTCCTGAGTCAACCCCTGGTAATGAAGCACACAGCCCAGGCGATACTTGGCAGACAGGACTGATGTCGCAGCTGAATTGGCTCGGGCACGCAGGGCATCCAGCAATCGTCCACGTGCATGCTGGACCTCGGCTAGCTGGAAATGCACATCCCATGGATTGTCGTTGGAATGGCTTGAATCGAGGACCACAGTTGCAACATGTTTCCTGTGAACATGATTCGAATTTTTGGTCTGGGATCCAAGTTCTTTGCCCACAAGACTGCTGCCTGTATTCATCCCATTGGAGTTTAAAGTCTTGAAAGCACTGAGTCATTTTCTCAAAAGAAATCTTGTGGAAGCCATACCCTTCTTCATAGTCCAAGCTGCGCCATCTTCACCATAGACTCGGAGCACAACGCACCAGCGGGGAGGCATGCCAGGCTCATTCAGAAGTTTGTCCGCAAGGTTCCTGCCCGGTTCCTTCCCCGCAGCCTCCATTTCTGGTGTCGCTTTCTTGGAGACATCGAAGGCATTGCATGCATCGATCAGAATTGGGACGCAGAATGCGGCCCTCTTGGGGTACTCGCGATCTACGTACTCAGGACCCCTTTCTGGATCCTCGCGGTCCCGCCGCATCATGTTGCGGAAATTGTTGTCCAGCAACTGCTCCCGGTTTTGCCACTGGTCAGGAGGCAACGGCACAGTGTAGATCCCTTTGCCCCACCAAGCATTAGCATTGGGCCCATCTGTCTTCAATGATGCCCAAACCTCTGCTGCTTCTTTGGCCGGGTGAGTGATGTTTCGGAAGGCCAATTCACTCGTGTAGTGGAAGTAGACCTCCCCACCATGACCCGAGGTGAGGTCAATGGCGTCTTGCCAAACTTGGATCCCTGTGGGCTTATGCAGCCAAGTCCACATCTCAGCATTGTCAGTGCCTATGTAGTCAGCATGCCCAAATTGACCTCCCTCTCGGTAGTGATTCTCAAAATAGTCCCGCAAGTTGTTTGTCCTTGGATTAACTCCAGTGTGGCACATGCAAGAGGAAAATACCATGCCTTCTTGGATGGTGGATTGGAGATCAGTGCTGGGATGTATGCAGTTTCACCTCTCTGCAATTCAACATGGATTTCGTCCTTGGTCGTTAGGTTGCCCGAAGGGAAACGTTGGAGGAAGCCCTCCGTGAATATGAAAGTTTCCTGATGTGTGAATTTTGCTGACCCCGACAGTGTCGGACATCCGAAACCTAGACTGCCCTTCCAATGCAGTTCCATCGGGCTTGTGGTCCCGTGGGTCTTAAATTCCAACCCGCACTCCCAATGGCATGCTTCAGGCAACCCTGCAGCTGAGTTGCAGTGTATGGCCGTTTCCTTTGGACACCTGCCAGTGTGCGGCCACAAATGTGGAGAAGTCGCTCAAGGAAAGTGAGCATCTCTTCAAATGCAAGAAAAAACTCTTAAGATCCGTGAAGCATGTAGTGCAGCACTGAATGCTAATCGATCTCTTGACCTTGTCGCTCAACAATGGGGTGCCAATGGACACAAGAAAAAGGAAAATATTTCATGATAATTATTTCTCTAGATTGGACATATCAAAACGTCCAATTTGGGGCTCAGTGATTTTTAAGCCATAGCGTGGCCCATCTGGAGTGTACCGACCTGGGAGCGCACTGACTTACAAGCGGCGCTCATCATTTTAGGGGACCTGAACGCATTCAATGTTTCGGGTCTAGTTTTTCAATGATATAGCCAATGTGTTCAAACTCTAACAATACACCAACACCTTGTGTTTTTCAACTATATCACATCTTCATACATATTACATTCTCCACACATAGGTGTGTCTACATGACCTTACAGAAGAAGTCACATGGTACAACGAAAAACACATCCATTGCTGCTCACCTCTAGTGCAAGATGTTGGGTATGCCACCATCTGCGCCCCTATCACCTACAACTGGAAACTCCCGTACCTGGTACAGTCATCCAGTCACCCCATCTGATGAGGCCTTTGAGGAAGCGGCATCCCCAAAAATGAGGTCCAAGAAGTTTTCGACACCTGGGCTGGGACTGGGGGCAGCCAAAATCCGCCCGCACCGAAGGTGCTGGGGCGTGATCTTCCGGATGGCACTCGTAAAAGGTTACAGGTTTACCTGGGGGGGGGGGTCCCATTTTTCGGCCAAAACCTCCTGTTTTTGATAGGTCGTGACGCTCGCCTTCAAAAAACACTGTAAAAAACAGTACGGAAGACACCTGTTCGTGAACGCGCCCGTCCAAAATCGGCAAGCGAAAAGTGAAAAAAACCCGTGTTTTTCAACTTTTTGACCTCAATTTTTTGGTTTGCAACATCTTTTTTTGCGGTTCCGCAGGTGGCCGGGCCCGGAGGCGGATTTTTGAGTTTTTGGACCCGTTTTCGGACTGATTTTCGTCGTTTTGTGATAGCAGAAACACTGGTTTTTACAGTGTTTTTCTGTTTTCTGCATGCTTGATGGCTAGCTTCAAAACTTCCAAAAACATCGTAAATTACGCTGTTTTATGTTACGGTGTAAATGAAAACATCGTAAATACCAGTGTTTTTTGACGTTGGTTAAAAAAACACTGTAAATTACAGTGTTTTTGGCCACCTGACCCTCAAAAACCATGGTATTTGCAGTGGTTTCTGCTTCTCACCGCGCAAAAACACTGTAAATAACAGCAATTTTGCCGTTTTTTCATGTTTTTCGTTATTTTTTGAACTGCGTTGGTCCGCTATACATGGCCATCAAATTCTTCGCGTTTTTTTTTCCGACAATCAGTACTTTCGGATGTTTTTGGTCTCAATGGCCGACATCATTGGCAGTTACGAGCGGCTGCCCAACGATGCGGTGCGGGCGGTTGCCGTCGCGAAGCGACGTGAATATCTCTGGCACATTCTGGGACAAGGGCAACCACCCAAGAAACTGGACATGTTTCAGGAACCCAGCTGCGGCCATTGAAGACATTTACAACGGTATTGGAGTATCCTTTTGGCAAAGGAGATTCTGTTCGAGAATCCTGGAATTAAGAATCAAGAACTTCAAGTCCCCGTCAGTGACGGCTAACAACAAACCGCAATTTGGCGACATGAACGGCCAACACAAATCAGCAAGCTGAGAGCAAGCTGACGGCTGTTCCTACTGAAGCGTTCATGGCAGTTGAACCGGCTTAACTTTAACGATTCACTGATCAATTGCTCATATTCAGTCCTGATTTGCACGTGCTATGTCCACGTGCTATGTCCATATTCGATCCCCAGACTCACAGTTCTGAGCTCTGCACACCAAACAACCAGCTGGTCACAGTGACACACTCGACTTCTCCCGCAATGGGATGAACATCGACAGGAAAACCCTACATTTTTCCCTCAAACCAAGCCCAAACGAAGTCCTCTCCACCAAGGTACTGAGATGTGACCCTTGGTCCTGTGTCAAAACAAAAAGTGAGTTCCATGGCACGGAAACGCCCTCTTGAGTTCTGTGCAAAGGATAACCGCAAGGACCGCAATATTACTCGTTTATGGAAGATATAAGTGTAGTTAATGGGATTATAACCAACAAACATAACTGGGGGGCCTCACCTAACAATCTCACTGTGGAGTAATAGAAATAGTGGATCATTTATCCCGTAATCTCACCATTATACCCCAAATACTGGGTAATACTATGAATCTTCAAATAAGTTCCGCTCTTCATTGATGCGGTATCGATTGTGGCCTCCAGCAAGTTCACCTTGCTCCAAAAACACCCATGTTAAACTGTTAGTTCGTTCATAAAGAGGTGGGATTTCCGGCCTTCAGCAGGGCACGTGCTTGCTCCTCGGTGCCACCGATGATCTGTAGAAATCTGATCCAACCTCTGGCAGCTCACGTCAAGTTTCAGGAATGGGGGTCGAAGTCACCACGCAAAATGGGGTTGTTCACTCATACCCATGTGACTCCACTGGAGGCTAGGACGGGAAGAAACATGTGTCCGATATCATCATCTTCAAGTCATGTGGTATTGGCCGAAAAGCGATCCTAGTTTCAATTAATTGAGAAAATGATGATAGATCATGATAGATCATTGGATTTTGAATGGTATCCCATTTGGGGACAGACTGAACTGTGTCTTCGCAAAAATCTATCCGATTCGACCAAGCAAAGGAGCCTCAGCTATGGACCAGTTCCCACTAGTACCCGCGATCGTTGACACCAAAAGATAGCTGCTATGCTGAAGTTGATCCTCCCGTCTGCGGAAATCAAAACGTTTGGATTTGGATCTATCCCTATAAATTCATATACTGCATATCATATTCTATCATGGGGATTCAACCAACTCCCAAAAGCGACCGCGCGACAGTCAGACTAAGGGTAGTTTTGCCCAGTGACTTTCCCGTTGCAGAACGCCCTTGCTTACCTTGCTTTCAGCCAAAGAAGAGCGCAAGATTTTCTCCACCCCATAGCGAAAGTCCTGGGGGCCACACTGACGGAAGCCTGGTGTGGATAATTTCTGGCTTTTTTTGGAGTTCTGATCGTCAGAAGTCAACACGGAATTTCATGATTAACCTTACCATAGATAGATGGAAATTGATGGATGGATTAACCTTTGATAGATGGATTAACCTTACCAATCTTACCATAGATACGCACGCCGTGCCAAGTGGCATCCATGCTTCGCAGGGACAACTGCTATAGTAACCTTTCTCAGCTCCATGTCAGTTGGGGATGCGTCTCCGGACCATCTTGGGATGAACCTCCACTGCCAGTCATGGAGTGAAAGCCATGGCTCTGAAATCTTAGATGCGAAAGAAAGAACTTCTGGCTATTCAAAATTATTCAAATCTTCGACATTTCGCATCATTTGCCCCTGGCTAACAGTTTTTGGCACTTTTAATCCACCTTCCACCAGTCGGTTTGCCCCGTGGCATAACCACCGTTGCCCGCCTCCATGGCCGAGCAGCGAATGTGGTTTGGACGGAAAATTCGCCCTAAATCCACTGGTTGATGGTCATCTTTCTATAATTTGATAGCCGATAGCCTCTTGGGGGTTAGTACATGTTAGTACCCCCCAGTTCCTGATACTCTGATACAACCATCTATCTGTCAGATTTTTGACTCTCGGGCGTTTGGGCCTACAATGATGATTGAGCCTGCCGGTTTCTGGTCTTGAATGGATGCTTATTTACACACAAAGAACCGAGAAGCATCAGATTGTGAAGAAGTGAAGAAGTACAATGTATCAAAAAAAGACATTGCAGCTGCAGTCAAACCTGAACATATCAAAACTTGAAATGTCCACGGTCTATCACTGGCGTTGTCTCATTTTTTGGAACCCTATTCTATCCCATCCATGGTGAAGAAACCAGGTTTCCCCGATTAAGAGACGTTAATTAAAAGGTTATGTCCCCAATTTCGAGGCCCCTTAGCTTCATGAACCTTTCAGGATGTTGTGTTGGATGATGCATGTGTCAAGCTCCTATCCTTGGGCCAACAATGACCTTGCGCCCGGCAAATCACGAAGAGTTTGAAGAAGTTGAAGCATGTGACTGGAAATCCCCTATATATCCCAATAAATAGAGGTGTTAACTTGAATAAGGGATTTCCATTGCCACTGAAGGCTTTTGATTCTCGACTCTCAACACATGGATTCATCGTGATTCATCATCCCGTACAAGACTAGATGCAAAATCACTACAAGGATTTCTGAGCATCTGACAACAATGCCGAGTGTCTCTACGCCGATGCCTCCCGCAATCTGGGAGCGTTGATCGTTCCACGCTAACTTGAGCTCTCTGCATGGCTGATCATCGATGCCCTACAAAAAACATGGTGAAATTGTGTTCCCCCAACTGGAAACCAGGAATGCAAAAAACCAGGAACCGCAAAGAACCATAAATGAAGGATTGTGGAAGATTGGGGCAATGCACCTTCTATCTTTAGTTGTTTGTGCTCACGGCCGCATTAGCGACCCCATAGGAACGTATCATTTTTTAGGCAACATGGGGGTTGGAGTGGGGTGGGGTGGGATGTTAACGTTCATGTTACGCTGATGATGTTACGTTGATCATGGGGGTTGGGGTGGGGTGGGATGGGATGTTAACGTTCCGATGGAACGCAAGGACGCACTTGCTGAAAGCAGTTGGTTCTCTTGCGAAGAACGCATCTCGCTAGAATAGAGGGAAAAAAAAAAAATATATTTGGGAATGCTCTGTGTTCGAATCGTAGAGCCAATGGGTTTTGCAAATATGAGGTTCAAAGTCACGGTAAGGACGTTCTGAGAAAAGAATTGGCTCACAGAAGAGCTCTGAGAAGAAGGAGCGGAGATCAGGTATCTCAACAACAAGAAGCTCACAGAAGAAATAACTCAGAGATGAATGTTGCCAAAAAGAAGAGGTGGCTGAGAGGTGGTGAGTTGCTTGAGAGCAGAGATATTACCTCAAAGAAGAATTTCCTCAGAGACTCATTCTGTCGTGTATTTGTCCAATCGCTGCCAGTGACTTGACTTTTTTTTTCATATATACTTGATTATACTTGCATCTACTTGCACACATATGCACATTACAACACATACATCACATCACATCACATTTGCATTACCTTACAAAATGTTTCAGGAACTCTTTGCAGTTTGGAAGACTTTTGGGGTTTCCTCTTCTCCCTGTTTTTCCTTGCTACTTGCAACGCATTGGATGTTCCATCTCTCATTTTGCGAGGTGTTTCCACTGTTTTTGACATTTGGTTTCTCGTTTTGCGCGGTATTTGCGATATTTTGGAACATGGACGTTGGATTTTGCATTTTGGAACTTCAACCTGTCGTTTGGCGCGATATTTGCAGCATTTCACCCCCAAAATAACACAAACAATTGTGGTCTTCTTGTTAGTCTTGCGATCTTTTGCTGCTGTGGTTTGTGGTTATCGTATGTTATCGTACGTGTTTCTTGTGGTTCTTGTTCTTGCTGCTTTTGCTGTTTTTGTTGTTCTTGTTGGTTTGTGTTTGTTGCTGTGGTTGTGGTTGTGGTTCCGGTTGCAGTTGCGGTTGGTGAATCGGAAATGTGAACCGAACCAAAGCGAATCGCTCCGATGCCACGCCGATCTTTTTTCAGACCTGAAAACAGGGTTTGCCCTGCAGCAAATTAACATTGCTATGGAAAATGACCATGTACAGACCGCTTTTCTATTTGAAAAACGCTGGCTTTCTACGTACTTGCAAGAAACACATCAAAATACCATGCCTCCGTTTGCCTTGTGACGCCTGCTGGCAGCGCCATTGCACATACGGTGGCACAAAGCTCCAGCCCCACGGTGTTAGCAAAGCTCCAAGGTTTGTCGTGAAGTGGGTGAAACAAAAACGAACAGAGGGGACATGTCCACAACATGAAACAAAACGTCCTGGTTGTGGGGGAGAATTTGGACCCATTTCAACAAGTTTCCTTGAAATGAAACTTCTAAAAATAAACCTAGGACGCACTGGCAAGCTGCAAGAAATGACAACCACAGATTGCTGGTCCTGAAAGTCTCTGCAGCATCTACGGGTGAAATTGTAAATTCCAACCTCTTCGGCCCCAAACAATCCAGGTCTCGCATCCAATTTTTTTTGCAAAAAAGAATTGCGAACGAGATATTGCAACATGCTGTCCGAAAATGTTTGGCAGCTCAGTCACTAACCAGAACCTTTCCAACCGGCAGAAACAAAATATATCACAACTCCACTAGTTGCACCAACTTGGAAGGGATGAGCCCTTTACCAGTCCCAAAGATCGCCACATCCGCCCTTTTCATTCCACGGCCTGTTCAACTCACTTGCAAGTGCCTGCGAGATGTCAAAGCAATCTTGTTGGTCACACAGAGTCACATGACAAGTGCACCGCACTTGACGGCTGATACACAACTGTCATCGTTTCAAGATTCAAACTGGCATCTGTGGCTCACCTCAAGAATTGCAGTCTTGGCAAGGGACTAGAACCGCGTGTGAATTGGCCCGGCATCAGCCACTTGAAAAACCACGGCGCCCGTCTCGACCCATCTCGGCCCGTCTCAGAACGTCGAGGTCCCACGGGGTCCCACCGGCCGGTCTTGGCACAGCCTGAGAGCCTCACAGCGGACGGCGCAAGTGCCGCATCGTGCGCTTCCTGTCTCCTCGAAGCGCCGGTCAAAGAGCGCGGTTTTTCGCTGCAAGGTGAATGATCACGCCGAAGGAAAAGTATGCTGAGAACGCCGAATGCACAACCACACTTTCTCAGCACCAAGATCATAGAAGAACAGTTCATGCCTTTTTTTCTCGCAATGCAAAAGCGAGAAATCTCCAACAACTTGATACATCCTTTGCGAGTACAATTGCGTGCATCTCCCATGATGTTGTAAGGTCCAAACTTCAGTTTTAGGGAAAAATTTGAGGCAGATTTCTGGCAAAAAGACTTGCCAGATGGCAAAACCCTTCGATGGCTGCCAACCAACCACCAAATAGCTGATGTACTGACCAAAGTGGTGGTCGACGTGAAGGGCTGGTGGATGAAAGTCCGGACAATCGTCTTGCCTTTTTCGAATAAGTTGCCAGATCGACAAGATTCTTGTGGAGTGTAAATTGTGTACAGATTTGATCTGGCAACTGTCCCATTTGATTGCCGCACAGGCTCGAATGTTCGCAGGAACAAATGCAGTGGCGCTAGTGACTTGTCGATTTGTGTTTCATCCCCCTTAGTTCGATTTACAGTAACTAATGGGCATCCCCAATCCATCAAGCTTCAATCTATTCTTGGAAAACTCATCCAAAGATTTGGCTATTTGTGGTGCCCATCTTTTCTGCACATATCATACTGCCACACGCTGACAGCTTCAGGGTTCTCCTTGGCCAAGGGCCAGGGATACTGGGGTACGGGAATATCAGCTGTGGTTCCTGGCGCAGGTGCAGCACGTTTCCTGGCCTGGTGAACCTCACGCCAACACATCCTCATACCTCCAAGCAAAAACTTGGAACCATCTTGGGTGAAGTTTGGATTTCAACTCATTTCTTGTTTTTTTTTTCCTCTGTTGCGGCCGATTTCGCTCTGAGGCTCGGTCCTAACAATGAGAGAAGCGGGTAAATAAAAGGCAAGCAATGTGAAACACCTTGGTTCCACAATTCAAGGCAATATCAAATAATTAAACACAAATTAAAGGACCGGATAACCCCACAAGTCAACTTCTTCCTAAAATGAGTTTCAATGGTTTCAGCGGGGGCGGGGAAGGAAGGAAAGACAAAGGAGGTGGTGAAAGATCGTGTATGTATGTATGTATGTATGTATGTAGGTATGTATGCATGCATGCATGCATGTATGCATGTATGTATGCATCCGACGATGATGACATAGAGGAAAGGTACCTGGCCGCAGAAGTGTTGAACACGAATGTAGCTGGTTGTCAATGCAACTATGGAAGACACGACGCAGTCACAGTCACAGGCAAACACCATGACACTAACTGTGCAGGTTTTTCCAAAGATGTCAAGCAACCGCACAGTTCAGAAACACACAGGCGTCGCGATTTTTTCCACATAAGTGTCGGTTCGCCACGCATCTGCATACGCTTCTTCCCACATTGGGTCAAAGCTTTGGCTCCCGACGTCATAGATTGCTTGATTCATTGTCGGGCCGTGAGACACGCGCCTGTCCTCCGTCCAAGAAGCTCACTGGAAGGGCACCTGCGGCAGTTGCAAAGACACAGAGGCTTCATGCGTGCTATCTTGTTACTACATGACAGCTGCAATAGCTCGGCGCAGCATGAACCCCAAGAACCAATCTATTCTACATAGCTTAACCACAGTAGATATCTTATTGATCAACCGTATAGATGGTCCACACTACGCCGCAAGTGCAGCTCCCGGCCTGCGCATTACTTCACCATTGACAAGCAACACCTGGCAGCACAGAAAAAGGTTCAAGACGAAACCACAAAGTAAAATATATAGTTCTTTGGTAGAGATCCACAGCGCAGCCTGCAGTTGTTGGCATCGACTGCAACAGAGCGGAAAAGTACCTGGCCGCAAAAGGACAGAACGTGTATATGCAGCTAGCTATCAAAGCAACATGCGCAGAAACGATACAATGCAGTCTGTTGCACGAATTGTCACCTTTTCGCTGTGATCCAAATCCTGGCAAGACCTGTAGCACTCCTTCCCGCAGTTGCGCAAACTCTACACATGTCACGAACGGTTTTGATTTGGCCGTCGCGACCTCAGTCTTCCCATATTGGGTCAACAATGGGTCTAGGAGAAAACGAAGAGAGTACTACGATGACTTCAACCGGTGACCTACGAAGAAAACCACGCCTACCCTAAGGTCACAGGCCCGATGACGATACCAGAACGGAAAAGTACCTGGCCGCAAAAGGACAGCTATGTATATGGAGCTGGTTGTCAAAGCAACAAATACAGAAAGACCAAAATTCAGGTTGCCGCACGAAGGTCACCTTTTCGCCGTGACCAAAGTCTTCACAAGGTCTGTAGCACTTCTTCCCACAGTGGGGCAAAATGCAGACCACTTTTGCTACAGCATCAAACGGTTCTTCGCACATTGCGTCAAACCATTTCATGATATGTAAAAGAAAGATATGTATCATAATTACAGCAACATTTCTTCTCCCGTGGACTGCTGTCACGACGTCTTCTTGCGACGCTGTTCAGACGGAGATTCCGCTGCAGCAGTGGACATAGGCAATGACCCCGCTCTTGGGGCCACCGCTGATGCCTTTGACATGGGTGCGCCATCACATCGTTGGGGCCGCAGTTGCGCGAAGCTCGCGGCTCCAGCTCGCTCAAGCGGCATTCTTTCATCAGAAGCTGACTCGCCATGACTTGCGATGGGCGGTGATGGTAGTTGCCCGATACGGTCTTGTACATCTGGTGAAGTTACACGAAGGGTAGGCCCTGAGGAAGACACCAATCTTGGCGACCGCTCTCTTGATTCACGGTGTGCAGCAGGTGGTGCCATGGCTACAGTGTGTGCGTCCAAGAACCGTGCCACATCTTCCCGTTCTTCTCGATTGGCTCCAGTCAAGTTGATCTCCACAAGGGAGCCATCGCTCATTGTCACACTGATGAGATCAGGAAGACGATTCCGCCTGTTGCTCGACTGCTGCACTCTTCCACGTTCTTCTTGGTCTCGCGACGTTGCCATAGCTGCAGTAGCTTGTCAACAACGGACAGACTAAAGCCAAATACTAACATTTAAGCGTGAAACATGTGGAACACTATCTTCTGCAATGTGTTTCTCAGAAACATGAGGATTCCCAAAGCTTCCGGTCCAGAAACTTCACTGGGCCGCCGTGCCGCACACGCTTCTCTCTCCGAAGCGGACAAGTACCTGGCCGCAAAAGTACAGAACGCGTATATGTCGCTGGTTGTCAATGCAAGCTGAACACAGCAAACCGAGAAAGGTCAGGCATGACCAAAAACAAAAATGTTGAACATACAAACGAAAGTCCTTGAACCAAAATGGAAGCAGGAACAAGTACGCTAAACATCCGACGCTATGCAATACCGACTTAGCTACATCCCTTTTCCGACAGTTTTTTCTGCGTCAGGTCAAACAGACCAGCCACAAACGACCAGATTCTGCGTCAAAACGATCAGATTCTGGGAAGCTTGGTCCACGTTGTCTGAGAGAAAACATGTTGGACCAGGCATCCCAGCATCCGACAGTAAGATTCCTTTCTCGGAAAGTTAGTGCTACGTCGTCCACGGTGTCCTGAAGGCCGCAGCATTCAACACATTCAATTGCAATCACTGGAGTCAGGGCAACTTTCCCGCAAGGACATGAAATAGTACCAGGACAGATCGTTCTGGAAACAAAATTCAAGGGCTAGACTGACCTGGCGGTTCCGTGGCGGTGACCAACAAATGAGCATGCGGCAAGAATGCCGCAATTTTCTGCGCCACAGGCGCGCGGAATTCAGGTAAATCTGGAAACGAGTGATAGTACGAGCCATTGTATCCCATAACGTTGCATTACCAGGACAGGTCGGTCCGGGAACAAAACTCATGGGTTACCATGGCATGTACTATCACATGTTCCTGCCGATGTGCAGCGCAGCCTGCAGTTGACTGTCATCGACTTGGATTGCTTGGCAGGCCCCTATAGTAACCATTCACACAAGGGTGCCACCCGGCACCGTGCTTCACAACAGTCGCCAAAACACGCATGCTTGTAGTCTTCTTACGACCGTGCTGTGGCTCGGTAGTCACACTCGGAGTAGATATGGATTGCAATGGCTCGGTAGTCACACTCGGAGCTGAGACATAAGCTTCGTCGCCACGTCGTTCAGATTGATGTCTTCGATATTGACATACATCAAGATCGAATACATCAATCTGAACGATGTGGCGACGAAACTGAACAATGCACTAGTCCACCGATGATTGACGGTCATTAACCAGGACATCATGCTTGGCCCAACGAAATCAATCAGAATGTTGCACTCGCCCAAACCATTCCGGATCACTGTGCGTTCCGGATCACTGTGCTTGGCATGTCTTTCCACGTTGAATCAACAATGCCATCGGTGAAAATTCAAGCGGCCATTGTGTCACGGCGGCTCCGGGTGATCGAGGCCTAGATATATTGCAATGCCGGCAACATCGATGTTTAATCCTTTTGTCTCGCTCAAATGAATACGCAGCCATTCTTGCCACTGGAGAAAGACAGAATGAGCATCTGCTTTGCCACACATGTAGGCTTGTAATTCACGCATAAGCATGCGGTCAGATCCGTGGCAGGCTCTGGCGCAAGAGCTATGCACTGTCTGCTCCCCTAAAATGGCAGCATCGTCCCAGAACCAGCCTCTCTTCACAACATCATAGCAGAGCGACTCAGATAGGAATTCTCGATGCCAAGACAGGTTGCTGAGCTGGGAGCGGTGGCACAAAAGCACCAGGGACAGAAACGATTGCCGTAACATCTCCGACAATTGCAGCCTGAATTGGTTGAAGCTGAGACATAAGCTTCGTCGCCACGTCGTTCAGATTGATGTCTTCGATATTGACATACATCAAGATCGAATACATCAATCTGAACGATGTGGCGACGAAACTGAACAATGCACCAGTCCACCGATGATTGACGGTCATTAACCAGGACATCATGCTTGGCCCAGCGAAATCCATCAGCGTCGCCGGCAGAGCAACGCGTGTCACTCTGTGGAAGGGGCATGATGCGATCTTGAAAAGACTACAAGCGTTTTTCAGTGAACCAAAGCAACTGACGGTTTTTAAACTTGGTCACATTACTGCAATGTCAATGAGCATGGTTCTTTGCACATTGCGCCAAAACAACATATAGAACACATATAGAACACATCTGTCAGCACAGACAAAAAAAACACGTCGTTTGCACAAATCTCTGCTGCAAGTGTAGAAAAAGCGCCGTGCACAGATCTGCGGTCAGATCAAACGCTTCTTCGAAATTCCTACAGAACTACGCAGGCGGACGCGTACGTCAACCACGCACACCAAACACAAGCGCAGAGCGTAAATTCCCAAAACCTAATTACACTAAAGCAATACCGTGTCAAAAGGATTGTTTCACCCTCGACTCCCACATGCTGACGTCAAGCTCCTTCTTTTCGCTCCAGACGCAACACGATCAGTCACGGGGAAACACAAACACAACAAACAAACAAAACAAGAACAAAGAACAAGAAGATGTGTTCCCTGTGTCGGTCTGTCTTATGTCAAGTTATGTGACACAGCAGCTCTTGTTCATTAAATGAACTTCTGACACCAGTCCTTCGAGCCGATGTCTCAACTGGTAAACTCGATTCCAGGTTTCCAGTTAACAAACCTCAAGTTCTTCAAATAAAGGTTTGTTGAAACTATTCCAGCTGCTAGAAGTCTACAAAACTCAATTTCACTAGATGAATTCAAAAACATCGAAACACTTCCAAAAGTTCTCAAAGCAAACTGGTTCTCATCCAAACGTGAATAACCAGCTCATTAGTCACAAGCTGACTAACTTCTCAAGAACGAAGTGATTCACACAAGGTGTCTGTACAACCTTCTTCTGGATACAAAACATAGTCAGAACACAAAGTTCTTTCTCCAAATCAGTTTTCCACATAGAGATAGCATCTCACAGCTTCCAATCTCAATGGAGAATAAAATGTTCTATTCGACATTGTCAATGTAGGTCAGCCAAATACAGTTGTATCGCTGAAGTCTTTCGACCACTGTAATAGCCAATCCACAATGTAGGCCAACGTCTTCTCAAAACAATGTCGTTCTCATAGAGATAACCAAAGTCTTCTCAGGAACGATAAAATGCACACCATAAGACCAAGTGTATGATCCATAGGTCACGATGACGATGATGTAGGTATTGTCCTCACAATACCGAAACATCTCATCACAAAACTCTCAGACAAATAAGATGCCCAAATATGGCCATTGTCTTCACAATACCAATGCATCCCATAGTCCAAACTCAAAGCATAGTAGGTTCTCTCCATCAGATATTTCCAGCTAGCTTAAACTCTTCTCCAAGAGTTTCTAGCTGTGTTCTCATCACTTGGAGAGAATGAACTCCACAATGTTCAGTGTCCACGACACAAGAAGTAATCTCACTGTCAAACCAATGTAGGTATCTTCAGTTCAAGCAATAAGCTGTACCAGACTCAAGTCGAATCCAGAATAAGATGTAGAACTGATCAATATACCACAATCACAGGTCAACACTGATCAATGACATCATCCTGATGTCAGAAATGATAAGTCCGAAGACTAATAGAATATTGTGATACAGGTTGGTCACATACAAGATTCCTTCCGCAATAAGTAGAGTGTTCTCTACCAATCTTCCATGACGCGATGAACTCTTGCAGTAGCCTTCCATGTATCTTCTGTGCATACACTATACAACTATGATGAATGACATGTCGCTTCACCCTTATCCAAAGGGTGCTCCCACAGGGTGTCAAATTTCCATACCCCCTTTCGACATGACATCTCATCCATTCACATCACTACCAGGTACGGATACCAATCGAATATCCGCAGAAAAATGTTCACGTTCCAGATCATATTCATGATCCAAAAGATATCCAAAGAAGCACACGTCTTCCAAAACACAAGGTAGATGATAAAGCATCATCCAAAACTCATCTCGTTCGACTCATGCATAATGTCGTAACTTCCAAATTCAAAATCTTCTCTGTTGCGAAAACCAGATGTAAAAATACCAGACTCAGTCCATAGACTCCTAAAGTCTTTCCAGTACCAAGCTCGTCTTCCAAAATCCAGTTCCTCGGATAAACCATGGCGTCGATAACGATATATCTACAGTGCTGTTGTCTTCCTACAACACACAAAACAACAACAGAACAAAACAAAACAAAACAAAAACAAACAAACACACACACACACGAGACCCAAGACGAAACCTAACGTCGCACGATCGGAGTCAACACGAAAACAAAGGCCAACTGTTTCAGCTAATCCGCACCTTCGTTTAGAAGGTAGGCGTATGAAAAGAAAACGCAAGTGAAATAATATCACTCATGCAACTCATCTCAAATTCAAAGCAAGCGAAGTACAGTTCACAGTCACTGCACAACAAATTCAAAATGTTCTGAATGAAAATCTCTCACAGTCAGGGTTAGGACTAGCTAAGAGTGGCACAGAATGAGGAAGCGGTGAGAGACGTTCTAAGACAGAACAACTCTCACAGTTTCATCATCGCATAGATCGCCGTCCCCCTTTCAACGTCTGATCCATCCTAATGATCTCGGAGGTGTGGTATGTCTTGTTCGAGTCTATATCATGAATCATGACATGAGGGTGCAATATGTCTGCAATCATGGCATCAGATTCCCCGGAAGGTTTTCCGATTAGTTAGACTCAGATTCCGTCTGAGTTTCTTCCCAGGTTCTCATCATGTGCCATGACAACTCAATTACACCAAATGTTTGTGAAAACACTCACAACATCAAGTTCCATGTTTCAAGCAACAAAACTCAAGACATGCACACAACAACTCAAACATAACGAGTACCGCAATCAAGACAATCAAGAACAACTTCAACCTTTCTTCATGATGTCTCCCTCAGATCTGTCAGCAACTCCAAGTTCTGAGTGCCTTCAAGAACGTTGCTCTCGCCATCGTCATTGAGAGACATATGACAACAA